TGAGGTGCGTTCTAATGGCATCACACCATAGTATCGCCATGTAGCGCACTCGACAAGAAAGTACCGTTTGGCTGAGTCCAAGAGCTGATGCGCGACAAACGTATCGTTAAGGTACACGAGGTCGTGCTACATCGAGTAAGCGTGTCGGAAAGGGACCGTGGAGTCTGCGACGTACTGTTTCGGGGCTCTGCAATCGCATCCGCTTTGTGTTGATGCGCAAGCTGGTACGTCCGTGCCTTTGATAGCTATTTTTGCGTTGTGGCGGTGCGTTTGGTATTCTTAGAGGAGCGCTGCGCCATCTTGACAGCTGCCGAGGTGCCCAACCGACGCACACGTTTTGTCGACTTGATGTTTTTAATGGTCAACACCGCCGAGCTGTGACTCAGCCATGGTGCAGCCACCTATGCATACACGCTGCCACGGCTCGTGCTTTCGGGGTGTCGCTCCACTTCACAGCGTAGTCTACCCTTTCCTTGATGCTCATATGTATACCGTCAAAACTAGCGCACTACCGGTACCTACTTTCAAGGTTTTTAACGCCCTCATCCGGAATTGCGGCTCGCACCCACATCTTGTTGTTTGAATACTATACAAATACGGAATGAAATCGAGATTGAAACTGTCATTGCAGCATTTGCCAGAAGCAGGTCATGCAGGCTATGATGAAGAGGGCGAGGACCGGGCCCAGTGCTACAGGCCGAGGCTTGGCTTGCCTCGAGATCCCCGATGTGTGCAAGGCCATTCTCTCGTACTGCCTCCGCGAAGCTGCGCAGTGCCTCAGCGTCGTCGTGCTCAGCAAGGCGACCACGCGATCGGTCGCAGAGTACCAGGAGCTTTGGACCGACCTCATTATCGCTCACTACGGCAAGCTACGCTCGCAACCGGCAGTGCGCCCGTGCTCGTCTGGTAACATACCCGTGGCGGCGCCTGGATATGCGCCGTGTACAGCGTGCGTCGAGTATTTCGAGACGGCTGTCGAACGCTCCATCTTGCAGCGATTGGTCATTCTTCGTGGCGATATCCAAACCATCGCCCACGTGCAAGGCCAAGCGCTGGACTGCCTCGTCTTCCCAACAAACACGTCGTTGAAGAACCATGGACTTGGCGCGGCTGCAGCTGTCTTTCGTCGAGCTGGTCTGGAACTCGATGGCCACATTGCGCGCCTGCACTATACGGGTAGTAGCACAGCGAGCGCCGTCGTCACGCCTGGATTCAGCGCCAACGTCACGCACCTCGTACATTGCTGTGGTCCATCGATACACGCTGCGAATGCTGACAAGCTGCTGTATGCGACGTACATCAAGGCGTTCCAGCACTGCCTGTCCTTGGACGTCTCGTGCTTGGCCATTGCGTCCATTTCGACCGGCTCGCTCGGCTTTCCACCTACTCGTGCCGCGAGACAGGCGCTGCGCGCGTACCGCGACTTCGTCAAGACGTACCGGTGGCGTGCCACGGTGGCCATTGTGTGCCTGGACATGAACGTCGCTGCGAGCTTGGAAATTGTGAAGGCGAAGCTCCTGAAGCGCTTCAACAAGCACTGCCGCACGGCGGTGGCTCCCAACTAGCCCCGTATGCCAAGCCCGCTGTTGTGACGATAGGATCAGACGCCTTTGAAGAGCCGACCGCGTCGTGTAGGTGTTAACTTTGTGCTCTTTTCAATACACTACTACGTAGTATTTATGACAGGCAGCAAGACGCAGTGCCAGGGCTGGTGCAGCGAAGGCATCGAGACAGAGATCGATACAATGCCGTGCACTCTGCTAAGGACAACAGTGTGGCATTGCGTAAAAATCATCTATTGGTTGCTTGGCTACTGCTTACTGCCACATCTTGCGGGGCTTCATGTGAAAGTTCTCATAGAGGCGCATGAGGTTGCGCTCGAGCATCGCAACTGTGACCTTGCCAACGAGCGGCACGTACTTGACGCCGGGGATCTGCATGAGGGCGGCCTCGTCCACGTTCTTGTGCGACGCGACGTTGATGATGACCGTGCCCTCCGAGACCCACTCCAGTGGCAGCTTGTACGACGCGACAGGCACGCCCGTGATGATCACATGCGACTTCTTGGCAGCTTCGGCCG